GAAAGAGTGAAAAGAAAGAGGAAGAGAGGACATGGTTCCTTAGAGCAGAGTTTGAATACCTGGATCCAACTCTTCCTGAAGCCTGATCTTCTCCTGGATTTTGCAGTAACACAAAATATTTCATTTATTGCCTAAGCTAGTTTGAATTGACTTTCTGATACTTACATCTGAAAGAGCTGTGACCAAATCTTAATGAATGTATAGAGACTGAGCAAGAAATGGAAATAGCCTTTTGGCCCCCAGAGAGCCCAAAAGAGCAGGGGACAGCCCCTTGCACACTAAAAGAAAGGCCATTTCTGGGGTGGAAGGCATCTTGCAAAGAGCTTTAACTAGTGCTTAAAAAAAAAAAACAGCATAGAATGAGGTATCTCTGTAAGGAATGCGGAGGACTCAGGGGGAGAACAGGTGGTCTGGGGATGTAACAGAGCAGAACCAGAGCAGCTGGACCACAGACAAGAGAACAAATAGAACTGGAAATGGCACAGAGGTGTCTGGGCAGGGCCAGAGTAGAGGCACCTGTTTTCACCACTGCTTCTGGGATGATGAGAAATCTGGGAGACTGAGTATCACAACTACATGATTTGCTGGTGATGGGATGATGCTTGGTTTAACTTCCAGGACACCGGGTGACACTGTCTCCTCATGCTGTGAGCACCTGCCGGCTTCAGCGAGCTCTCGGGTGTAGGTAAACAGGTTACACGCCGAGTTAGAAGAGTTTCACACAAACTCACTGAGAGCCGTGTGGGCTGGGGCCCCGCAATTTCATTACCTCCACCCTCTTGGGAGGACCTCACTGAGTGTGCTTCGGAGAAACTGTCCTTGAAAACTATGGCATATTTCACAAGCCTGATTTCTTTCCAGAACTTGGACTTGACTTCTCTGGAAGTGGGTTGGGGCCCGCACTGGGAAAGTGTGCTGCTCCTTAAGAGAAATCGGGGTGAACGCTCCAGACCCCATTATCTCCGTCAGATGGTGATTACATCTACATTCCTTTAAACATTGAAACAATCTGTCTTAAATATTTAAACACTTGAAAAGTATCCTTCTGGATTAGCTTCAAATGCTGATTTTCTCAAAAATACCTCACTTGACAGTAAAACTCTGTGCAGCTTTCTCAGGTGCCCTCCGAGCCCCAGTCAGGCCAGCTGCTGAGAACGAGCCAGGCTGACGTTTCCGGGGGCTGGACCCCTGCTTGCCCTCCGGGCTCAGAGCCTCTGCTGAGGTGCTGCCCTTCCTGATGAAATTTCAACCCTTCAAATTCCAGCAAAAATCCATGAAGTATCACAGAGCACAGCTCTCCCAGCCGTGACCAAATCTTTCAGGCTTTTCCAACCATTGAAGGAGAAATGGTCACAATCTAGGTGACAATGTGGAAGTTTAGATAAAGAACACCCTCTGTCTTGAAATGGACCAAGTGTGATAAGGATATCCATAAAGAAAGAACTCAGTCCTAAACGAGTCATCTTATGTTCCCCGCAATGGCAACTGAATTTATTAGCAGTCTTGCTAGTCCTGAATGAGGTTGGTGAATGCAGGTAGGGAGGCACTGACATGCAAGGGCCTGCCAAGGAGCACAGATAACATGCAAAGATATGCCAGCAAGACATCTACCCAGCTGTGTACCCCGAAACCTCCTCCCCCACCCCTGCCGCGACTGATAAACTGCCCATCTCCTTACACAGCATAGTCTGGGAGGCTGTGTGGCTAGACTGTGTGTTTCTGGGTGCTGGATGCACGTCTCACAAATCCTTATTCCCAGGGGCACATTGTGGGCTCCCAGACAAGCATATGTTGGATCAGGTTCCTTGGATTGTTTTGCTTCCCTTGAAATTGGGAACTCCTGTTCCCACGTCCCCAGGCACGCTCACTGGTTCCTGATACCCCCCTGCTCCTGTCTTGGTGGTAGAGCACCCTAGTACTGGCCTTGTCGCCCTGAGTTTGGCTGTTTCTTTACTCTTGGTCCCACTACTGCATGTAAAGAACCTCTGAGGCAGAGCAGTGTCATGACCATCTCTGCCTCTCCTATACCTGGCACAGGCTTTGGCACAGAGAAATGGTAAAGTAAAAATATAATCTGTGAAGTTTTAATACTATTGTTGTGGTCTATTATTAGCAAGCATTATAAATTTTGTTAACAACAATAACACTGGCTAAAAATGAACGTCCTAGCCATTTATTAACTACATATGGGACATCTATTCCCTGCCAGCCACGGAATGAGCCTTTCCCTACTCATTCTTTAATCTTTACAGATAGGCAGTATTATCCCGTCTTAAAGATGGGGATTCTGAGGCTCAGACTGCAGGCCTAGGAAGAGGCAGGCCTGAGATTCAAATAGAGATCCCACTAGCATGAGATCCAGCCAGCCAGCCAGAACTCTTGAGCTCGCCTGTACAGATATCACACCTGGAGAGGTGATTCCAGTATCTAAACCTGCCGTCATCAGTGGCAACCCATCGCCCTTAGGGTAATATGCAAAACCCTAAAGTGGCAGCAAGCCCTCTGTGCGCTGGCCCTGCCTCATCTTCACCCTTGTCTCTTCCCAGCTCAGCTCATCCCAGTTACCTCCTCTTCTCCCACGTAACTGATAACACCAGTGCTTTCCTGACCCGGGAGCCTCACACATTCCCGCCCCTTAGTCAAAACCATTTCCTTAAAATGCTTTTTAGCTCCTATGCCTCCTTCTTCAGATTTTAACTTAGAGGTCACTTCCTTGGAGAGGGCCTCTGATCTGCTCAAATGAAATACCCATCCCCAATCATAATCTCCCACCGCATTTTTCCTGCCTGTTGCGCATTCCAAATTATGATGATCTATTTATTCGTGCAGTGATTGAATGTCTAGCTCTCCTTCAGAGTGAAGTTCATGAGAGTGAGGCCCACGCCTGGTGTGTTCACAGTCATGCCCCTAGCTCCTAGCACAGGGTCTGCTACACCCTCAGCTCTCAGGGCCTATTTGCTAGTTGGAAATTCAGTAGATAAGTGGATGGACACACTCACTGCCCATCTCCTCAGATGCTGACAGTGTGGGTACAAATCCCACTACACAGGTCACACTACACAGGTAGGACTGAATTGCTAATGACCAATTATTGACTTAGCCAATTTCAAATTTAAACCGAAGGCCCTTGTGATTCTTTATTTCAAGTTCAAGGTGGACTCCGGTCTACTGTGCAGAGAAAGGCACTGTCTTGTCTCTTACCTGTACGTGATCTTTGTATAGGGATGCATAGAGTTCCTGACCTCTTCGTCTATAGTTCTCAATACATGACACAAAATCCTGGAGAAGAGAGAAAACAAGTCAGAGCTAATGGCAGTTGTGAGTATACAGGGGAGCTTCTCTGCTCTAACCAACTACCAGGGGAAGTGACAGCCACAGCACTCGGTGACCAGATCAGTCACACCCTCACGCATACACGTCTCAGCCATGCTGATACATTCACAGACAGGTTTATGGGTCACTTCAATCAATTTGAATGAACTGAAGTTCATCCTTATGGGTTATTCCACTTCCAGCTGTGATGAACTAGCTTATAGTAGATAAATCTTTCTCTCAAGAGTAAGTAGAAAAGCTAGATTTGAATAATGTACTTGAAGACAGCAGAGAGCTACCAAGAGAGCCAAGACTCACTAAGATGTGCCCAGTGTCCAATATCTATGTTCTCCCCTCCCCCCAAGATATTAGCAAGTAGGCAAATAGCACAAGAGGCTGAGAAACTGAGCAGAAAGTGGTGGCTGAGAAGCAGAGAAGCCTAACAGACTTTTTGGAAGCCTCAGGTGGCCAAGAAGACAAAACTGGTGTCCAGGTCAACCAAGGCCTCCAGAACATAAGGAATCAAGAGGCCAGAAAGAGGACAGTAAAGAGAAATAGGCCCAGCTTTCTGCATCAGTGTTCCTCTTTAAGCGACTGCCAATTCATAAACAGTAGGGGTGCTGAGAGGCTGAGGACGTAAGTAAAGTTCCAGCAGTCTCAGTCTGTAGAAGCCAACAGAAGGAGGCCTCGCCTCGTGGGTTCCCTGAAGGGCCGCAAAATAGAAACATGCAGGAAACAGACCAGGCCTTACAAAGCCAAGACCCAACTTCCAATAGGCTCAATCTCTGAGTACATTATAGTGATGTGCCCCTACCCCCCAAACATGCAAGAAGACAAAAAAAAAAGTCCCCTCTGGAGAAGGGTCACATCATGTGAAGTCTCTAATCAAGGATTTTTAAACACAATGTTCAGCAGTCAAGCAGAAATTATTAGATATGCCCATAGAAAGAAGCAACAGAAAAACAAACAATAAAAACATACCCAAAGGTACCCAGATATTAGAGTTATCAGACATGGACCTTAAAATAATGCAAATAATATGGTCCAAAATGCAATATGGAGAATTCTGCAAGAGACATGAAATCTATGAAACTATCCAAATAAAAATTCTAAATCTGTACGGTGAATTAATTGAAATTAGAAATTCCATAGGTGTGAGGGAAGGGCATAGCTCAAGTGGTAGAGTGCATGCTTGACATACACAAGGTCCCAGTTCAGTCCCTAGTATCCACCCCAAATAGAAATAAATGAATAACCAACCGCTCCCAAAAGAAATTCCATAGGTGAGTTTAACAGCAGGGTGGACACAACTCAACAGAGGATGAGTGAACTTGAAGAAATATTCTTGCTAACTATGATGAGATGAAAGTATGAAAAATACAAGATAGAGTTATGTAATATATTATGTAATATTAGTAATATACATATGTAATATGTAGAAAGTATCTAACATATGTGGAACTGTAGTCTCAAAGATAGAGAAAGAATGGGTCAGAAGCAATATATGAAAAGTTAACGAGCATTTTCCCAAATGGATGAAAGGCATCAAGTCACAGGCTTGAGAAATTCTACAAAATTAGGAGCTTGAGATTAACAGATACACATTACTCACTATAAAACAGATAAACAACAAGGATCTACTCTATAGCATAGGGAACCATATTCAATTTCTTATAATAACATACAATGGAAAAGAATCTGAAAAAATATATACATCTGTATATGTATAACTGAATCGCTTTGCTGTACACCTGAAACTAACATCATAAATCAACTACACTTCAATAAAAAACAAAATTAAAAAAAGAAATTCCATAAACCTGAAACAACAAAAATGCAAATAAAACCACACATAAGCCTATCATAGTAAAACTGCAAAAATAAAGACTAAGAAAAAAATAATTTAAAAAAATTGGAAAATAGTTTTAGACTAAATTAGAATGAAAAATGACACAATGAAGCATATATGTTAGAGCTAAAAATTTTTGTGGGAATATATATATATATATAAAGTGAATGTAAATTTAAGCCTATAAATTAATCATGCATATCAAGAAATTTGAAAAAAATTAAAACCTAAGAAAAATAAATTAAAAGTCCCCCAGAAAGTCTGATAAGAAACAAAGAACTAGGCAAAATTTACTAGGGACAGGAATGAGGAAAGGAGGTATCATTTAAAAAGTCATTACGAATAGTTTTACGCTAATACATCTGAAATTTTGGATGAACGAGACACATTTCCAGGAAAATATAGCTTGTCAAACTTGATACAAAATGAAATAGAAAATCTGAATTATGCAATGTCTATTACAGAAACTAAATCCATAAATAAAACTCTTCCCACAGAGAAAATTTCAGGACGAGCATAAATGAGAGTGAGAGGATGGGGGAGAAACTTTGAGAAAAAAAGTAAATTGAATTCAGCAATATATAAAAGTATAATGTAGCACCACAT